AGGTATGGCTTCGTCGGAAAACTCGATGTAATCTGAAGCCGAGGGGTGGAAGGGGGGGATGAAGTTGGAAAGGGGCGGTTGGCTAGGAGTGGAAGTCTCACATGACGGTACCAGCCAGTGAGGACAAAGCTTCCTGGTTTTTTTTTCTTTTCTTTTTTTCTTTTTTTTTTGACAGATTTAGAGTCAGGTTCGACAACACACAACTGAAAGAATATGGGCATCGAATATTGACATCGGAGCCGGGACCAGTCTCTAGTATTTGATCTCGTAACAAGCCTATCCTGGATGCATGATCTTGACTGTAGTCGCCAATATCAATACCAACACTACTATTCCAACAGCAAAACTATATGCTCTCCTGAGACAGGAAAAGGGGGCTCCTAGAAGCGATGCTAGGAAACTTTGTCCAAAATAACGCGTAGACACCTGTGGCTTGACCTGTCAATGGCAGCGACGCGAATTTTGATCATTACCACAACGTCATTCTAGGCTGGAAGGTCCACAAGGGCGACAGCTACGTTATGTAGCCTCGAATTCCTATCGAAATTTGAGGGGGATGGTTAAGAAACACACGGGATACCTGCAACACGATTTTCGTCTTCTCCATCGTCCCTCGATAATCTCTCCGAATTGATGAAAGCATGGAATCCATCGATCTGTTGCAACAATATGTTCATCGCCTGGTATCCATCTCGTTATTCTTCTCTCGTACTTGCCCTCCTCGACTAAATTTTCGTCATACTCCAGGGCAAGATCTGGTTTCATCAAAATCGCTACCTGATACTCCATATTCCACTATCCTTCCAGAAGCTTGACGATCGTGACAGCATGAAATCAATATTTCTCAACATGACCAAGAGATTGTGTTTGGAAAGTCCTGAAACCGTATATAAAGCCCAGATATTAAGTGTCTACCTATCCTTGGAACATATTTCTCAGAAAGATGCTCCTCTTGGATTAGTCTATCATGTCCACCACAGGCTGGCCGTTGAGATATGCTGTGTTCCAGAACTGCCCAACCTCTGTCATGGTGCTAGATCAACCAGCGGGGATCTATTTGTTCCATTGAATTCTTGGAGATCCACTGAAGTCTTATATCTACAATACCGCTGCAACTAATGGCGATCGTATTCTGATTAGAGCTGCAGTCTTTTTAAGCCCGAGGTATGTTTCTTAACTGTGCAAGGCCACTGAGCAGCCTCGGGGTCTACCTGAGCTACCCATCCGACAAGACATCGACCCTGGACAGTGTGAGGGTACATTCGTCAGTACTTGAGGCAAACCAGGGTTTTGTCAAATGAACATTAATGCTAGAGTGGAAGTTGCCGGACTCATCTTCAAAGACAATCACCGGGCTAACCTCCCCTGCGTCAGCTCAGCTTGTTTAGAATGTCCTTCTCGGGCAATGCTTCATTTGTGTAGGTTATGCGCCGATCGTCTGCATTTGTGTAGTTTGTGCGCCGATCGTCTTCATTTGACCAAACCTGCAAATGGCCTTTCGAGCCTGACCTCACTTCAACATGATGCTACCCCGATATAGCCTCAGTAGTCTTTGGCAGAAGAGGGCCCTTGATTTTCTTTCGAGTTCTGTGTCATATCAGCTGAAATGTCACCTAAATCGACATCATCTCCACTGTTTGCACTTCATGTAAACAGGAACTTCCGATCACCTCACCCTGTTGTAGACACAATTGTAAGCATGCATGAACTTGCCCTGCTCCATCAAAACACCCCACGCCCATTCCAAGCTCCGAGATCCAACATATTGTTCAGTAGTCTTCATACCTACTCTGTCAGTCTTTGGATATTACTCTGAAAACTGTAAAGGGGTCATCTCGCCTCCTTCACCACTAGAGCCGATCCACATTATCATCCGCTATAATGTGGAAATATCCCGTCAAACATAGCTGATAGCATCATAACTTGGAAGCTGAGCATCAGCTTACATACATGTCGTCTTCACGAATTCACGTGTTGTGATAGACCGGTCTGGGCAGATCGTTGAATCAATTTCCCTTGGATCCAAAGTAAATACCCCGGCGCTCGCAAGAAGCCAGGCATTGCGATGAGTCGACTTCCTGGAAGCCAACTCCATCTTCAACCAGTTCTGTCCCTGCCCTGTCGTGGTGTACCTTGTTGTCTGTCTAGCGGTGGTTTATCGTCGTTTTCACTTCTCAACCGGATTTTTCTCAGCTGTAATGGCTTCATATGGTCGAGGGTTTCTCTACCATTTATGGTTGATGTTCTTCGGCTTTGGGAGCACAGATTGCGTTGATCAGCGTTGTCTCTGCGCCGAACTAAAATGTGTTGGTCACTCACCCATTGTGATGTTGTCTGGGCTCTTGCCCTGCACTGCTCGGCGGTGCCTGCCCGCTCTGGGTACGCGGCTCTGAGAGCAATTCAAGTCTTTGTGTCCGTCGTCTCACGCAGGTGCAATCAGAAGCTGGCGAGGAAGAAGAGGGCAATGATGATGGGGCCCAAGGCTCCTTTCACTTTCTTTACACATCACTCGCCTCAAGCTGCCGGAAGTGCACGGTAATCATGTCAAGATTATCTTCAGGAAACATGCTTACCTTATCGATATTATCAATGATCATTAAGCTACACTACCTCGATAACACAAACAACCGCACTGGCATAAACTACTGTGTGTCAACGTAGTCCCATCGGATTTTCATTATGGCCCTAAAATGATGTCTAAGCAGGCTAGTTGGACTTACAACCAGGGAAATGTTACTATATCCATACAATCAAATACATCTCCAAGCTAGCCACATAGCCTGCCTTCTCCATACCCGTTAACCAATAATAGGTACGGGCCTTAGAAGGACAGAAACACACACCCCGAGAAACAGGCAAGGCCTCTGCAAAAAACTCAAATGCCCATTCATTGTCCAAGAAGACGATGTCGACATGTAAACAGCCTGGTTCATATTAAGGACGCAATATACCTGTCAAGTTACACATCCCCAAACTAAGGTCATACCCAAACTTACGATTTCCAACCCTTCCCAAGAACATAACGACCCTCAAGAGAATAATTCCACACCTGTGTCTAGAAAGCTAGGCTATACTCAAGATGTAAACATGTCTGCCTGATGTCCAATGACGCCTTGATCCCCTCCTCGCAGGCCTTCAAGTTGTCCAATAAGGCCTGTCAAATATCGAAGTAGGCCTTAAACACGTTACTACATGCATCCTTAAGATAGATACACGCGTAAGCTTGCTATCTAAATGCCTATCAACCGATCAATGAGGCCTTCAAAACTTCTGAATAGGCCTTAGGTTGGATGACCAGGAAATGGACCACATGTGGATCTGGTCCACCACCACCACACCAGCCACACAACCTTGTTGAGATTACCCCTGAATGATCACACTGGCCACAACAAGACTAATATTGGGTCAATTTCTATGGGAGTTATACCAAAATGTAGCTCAATCACTGCCAGAGTCAGACATTGCATCTGCTTCTCGCTTGCGCCTGGTTTGAACCCGATGACGTGCGCTGCGCCGCACAGGCTGGGCTGGCTCTGGCTGCTCCACATCCTCCTTGGCTACCACTTCTTCCTCCACCACCCTCCCTTCAATGCGGGCCTCTTCCAGTTCACAGAGCCTCACAAACTTGGAATTCGAGTCTTCTCTATTCAACTTACGCCTTTTTCTTGCCTCCTGGGCCTTCTGGGCGTTCTGTTGGTGCCTTGCCGCATCAGCTTTGTGGATGGATGCCTCAGATCTCAGTGTGAGTATAGTACTGGTGAGAGTCCTTACCGCAAGCCGTTTTCCGGCCGGCGTATGGTTCTT